CGCCTCATTGCCAGTAATGCTCTCTGACTGGATTTGTAGGGTGCGATCTACGGCATGGCCCAGACGACCGTCGACAGGAACCTGGTCGCAGAATTGTCCTCAGTCTTCTTGGACAGCCTTTTCAGCACTGACACTGTAACTCAGAGCAGCCAGATGAATGGTTCTCCAAAACCCCGCTGAGCCTGGACCCTCTGTGGCCCCGAGGGGCTCCTGGCCTTCAGAGGGTTCTCGGGGAGTGGAACAGGCCACGCACAGTTTCAGCATCTGGTCTTGCTCCATGGAGCACGACGAGACAGACCACGAGACGGCTTGATCCTCAGGATTCTTGTTCCTCCTCTTGTCATCCTTCTGTGGTCTTTAATGTGGAGACCCTGAAGGAGTTCATTACCTAATTATTTTGCCCTTGTTCTCAAATGTTACCCTAGGGATTGTTTTAGCCATTTCCTTCTCTAACCTTCTAGCTTTCAACTTCACTTAATCATTGTGTGGCAGCTCTGACCGGTCCCGAGTCCTTACGGAGCCTGGGGGTGATTTCTCTGATAAAGAAGGTTTTCTTCGTTCTCTCAGGCAGATTGGTGAGGCAGATCGGAAGATGTTTCCCCGGGTGGGAGTTAGGTACCCTCTAAGCACGACGCCTTCTCAGCCTCCTCTTTGAGTAGGTGAGTTGTCTCGCAGAGTCACGTAGTGCAGCTCAGTTTCTTTTTCCAGGACATAGATGGACAGGCCGTTGTTCCTCTTTTTTGGGATTAGAATGGCTGAGCGTATCTGCTCAGTCTATCAAGGCAGGCTGTGGAGTGGCCCTCTGCTGTCCCCACTTGATACTTGGTGGCCACCATCTTTGGAGATTTGTGTTTGAACTCGTGCTCCCATTGGTTTGTTGTTGTTCCCCTGGATTAGGAAGAGAACGTGGTCTCCAGAGAGCCTAGGCCTTTCTGGCCCTGGTGCTTCCTGTCTGCATCGGCAGCGTTGGGAGCACAGCCGAACCCTCTCCTGGGCTGCTGAGGATCGGAAACCAGAGCCTTTTCTCAAGTTCTCTGAGGGTCACATTGGAATACATGTCCCCAGAGTTGGTGGTGGTCCTCCCCTCACCCACTGCTGTAAGCCATCTCGTCTGAGAATATGTTTGCTTGAAGGAACAGCTCAGAGCACCTTCACAAGTTGCCTTGACTTACCCTAGGTGGGTGCATGGAGCACGTGAGAGAGCCTCCAAGGCAAGGAAACTTCTCCCCGTTCGTGTGTCCCTCCTGCCTCTTTCCGTCTGTTCAGCTCCCAAAGGTACTATGGCAGTTTAGCCTCAGGTACTGGACACTTCTCGGGCCCGGCTAACTTTGGACTAGGAAAGCATGATGGCAACTGTCAGCTGGGGCTTGGGGCCTGGGATTCCTTCCTAAGACTAGTTGCTCAGGGTGGTGCAGGGACAGGACCAAACCCTGTGCCCACTCCCCACCCTCCTCACCCTTGCACAGGGCCCTGATCTAGGTGGAGCCACTGTCTTCCTCTGAAGACGACATACCGTGCCTTTTTTCCTCAGCAGAGAGCGGTGGAGGACTACTCCTGACCCAGGCCCTCAGGGAAGTGGGTCAGTCTTTGAGCTTTTATTTGGGTGGGGGAGGACTTTAGGATAAGTCAGGAGAAAATAGCCTCTGTTCCAATCCCCTTCTCAGGGACTCCTGAACCATTCAGCCTCTTCAGGCTGCTGTCCTCTGGCCTCCCTCACTGGGAATGCCGGCCGGGAGAGCCAGGACCACCAGACTCTCCCCCGGGCTCCGTGGCACGTTTGTCTGAAGTGGCCTCTGGCACTGTACTTCCTCCACGATAACTGTGACAAGCTGGCCGTGTCATTGCAGGGCTGGAGTGTGTGTGTGTGTGTGTGTGTGTGTGTGTGTGTGTGCACGTGCACGCGAGCATGTTAGAGGGAGACGCTAAGATCCTTTGGACACGGGAGCCGAGTTCCTTCCAGTCGCTGAACTGGGGGCACCTCCCGAGAGAGTTGCTGCGGCCGGAGCTGTGCGCCGGGGCTCCTGGGTCTCCGGCACGTTCGTGGTGCTGGAGGAAGACCCGGGACCCGAACCACCCCGTCGGCACCACTGTGGTTTGTCAGCTGCGAAAATGGAGAAGCCTGTGCCTGACAGAGCGTGCTGTTGCTCCCAGCGTCTGCGGGCCCTTCCTCTGCTGCCCTGGGGGCAGTGGTGTTTTTCAAAGGGACCTCCTGTAGCCACTTCATAGCACGAGCCTTAGTTTGCCTGACACTTGTGGGCTTTCCAGTCTATGCGTACCTGCGCGCCTAGGAACACCTAGTCTGGCAGAGGCGGGCACAATGTCTTCAGGTGTCATGTTGCTAACAGATGTCACATGGGCCTCTGCAGAAACTGTAGCGTCTGGTTTCTACACGGAGTAAGCAGCTGCGTGACCCTCCTGCCATGTCACTTTTAATATTACCGGTTTTATACTTGGAAAATGGTACTTGCCTCTTTTAAATCTTTTCTGTATTTAACCTCTTTCTTCCCAGCTCAGTGCTCCCTTCCTAATTGCAGCAATAATATCTTAAAAAGCAACTCAGTAATTAAATGACCGAAATCTTAACCGACGTGGCTGGTTGCATTCATTTGCTTCTGTAGGGGTGGCCGGAGATCCCGGGTGGGGTGGTGGCCGCTGGAGAACTGGCGGCCGGTGGGAGATCGCCCCCTTGTGGTGAAAGCGTTGTGTGTGGTCACGGAGATTCAGGGCGCTAGCTGTCTGTGGGCGAGAGCACCTCCACGGGAGGCTTCCCCAGGAGTGCTGGTCATGTCTGCTTTAAGGAGGCTGGAACTCAGGTCTTTAGTTCCCCAGGGCCCGGGCCCAGCTTGTGTTTTCTGTCCTCTTCACTATCTATTTCTGCCTATACGTTAATGATGGATTGAGCCCTCCAGGGTGGGCTCCAGCCAGCTTCAGTGGTTTGGGAGTGGATGGAACCCCTTAGAATATCTCTGCACATATAACCGCTGGGCATCTTATTCCATTACAAGTAAGAAGTGAGAAGTCCTTCCAAAGGGCCTGGGGTCTGTCACTCAGGTAACCCAGCTTTTCAACCCGTTTGGACTTTGCCAGACTCAAGCCAAGGAATGCCGTCTTTGCTGGTTTTCTGCTAAATGACTTGGTTTCCTGAGCACCTACTTGCTTTGGGGTTAACCCTAGAGGATGAGGCCAGGATATGCTTGGTTAGGAGGCCTGGCCCCCTCCATCCAAGAATTGGTGTTTGGATGCTTGCACCTGCTACGTAACCGCGGTGAACCCCTTTGCCTTCTCTGAGGGTTCTTGGTAGCAGCGAGCCACCTGCAGCCAGACGTGGCAGTGGAGAGGTAATGACAGGCCTGACTTGACAGCCACCAACTACAGCCTGGGTCAGCAGAAGTCAGCGTTTGCGAGCCTTTTCTCAAGTTGGAGTCCTAATTGCCATCCGTTTTCTTGGGCTTTCTTTTTCATAATCTGTCCTTAACATCTTCCCCTGTGACGTCAGTTATTTGCACAAATTGTAGAATAAACATTTGTTTCTGAAAAAGTATCACATCAGTCTTTCATAGAACTGGAGCATCCTCTAGGTTGGCGCCTTTCAACTCCTGATCCATGGGTAAGCAGAGGCGGGACGGTGACCTAACACATGCTCCGTACCTCCATGTCTGGTGGCTTCTGTCCCCTAATCCACAGTTGTCAGATCAAAGCACACTTAGGAAAAGGGAACTCAGAAGTGGAGCAGATGGGGGACCACCATCAGAATCTCATTGGTTTTGATTATTAAGTTTTCTGAGAACCTGCCATTGACATTGGTACTGTTAAGTCTCAGATCCTGCTGGTACCTCTACCAACAATGTGCTTATTTCTCGGATGCCGACCTCTGCCTCTTTTCTGGCCCTTGTAGGACGCACTCATCCAGGGTGACTGGGTTGTGACATTGCTAAATGTCTGCTCCAAGGAACCCTGGCATTTGCAAGTCAGCTTAGAACGCAGGCAGCTTCAGGCTAGGGGTTCTTGGATGAGAACCCATCAGGAGAAGGGCTTCCCACAATCCTGCATCATGGCATTTGCGGACTGCCATCCACGTGGCTTGCACTGGGGAGAGAGGAGACTGTGCTCTGTGCACCCCCCGCCCCACTTCTCCCAGTCACAGCACATTAGTGGGAACAGTCTATCCTAGAGTTACTAGGTTGGCGGACTGAGTTGTAGGAATCCACTCCATAACGGCTCAGATGGGAAGTAGCCTGTCCCCTCCTAAGCTAGGATTTTTGTCCTCTCCCTTACACAGTAAAAGCGGGCAAGGCTTGAGACTCTGGCTAAGTCTCTAAGAAACCACAAGACACTATCAGGATTAGAAATCTTCCCCTGGGATGTTGTAGACCAGGAAGAACATAACCCAGCCGCAGACTGCCTTCCCAGTCGTAGATCCCACCATGCATAAGTACAAGTGTCCTGCAAACCTTTTCTTTTAGTCATGGTGCCACTTCGGCCACCCCTGCCTCAAGAATCCCATTCAGGGGGCGCCTGGGTGGCTCAGATGGTTAAGCGTCTGCCTTCGGCTCAGGTCATGATCCCAGGGTCCTGGGATCGAGTCCCACATCAGGCTCCCTGCTCCTTGGGAGCCTGCTTCTCCCTCTGCCTCTCTCTCTCTGTCTCTCATGAATAAATAAATAAAATCTTTAAAAAAAAAAAAAAAAGAAGAATCCCATTCAGGTCTTCGAGGCACAAGTCAGTGGAGCGTCCAGACTTTCCCTTGTCAATCACTTCATGTTCCCGGAGCTCATTTCTTACCCTTGCCTCTAGCATTGACTTCATTCATCCCACCTAGTGGTAGCTACTGCTTCCTGCTTAATTCCCTTACATGAAGACAGGGTGGTCTGGTCCCACTCCGCCCTCCCCCCGCCCCCCCGCAATGCCTTGAACAGTGCATCCCACGGAGTAAGTGCTTTAAATGCCTGTAGACTCCAATTTGGACTGACCTGTGGAAAGGAAGGTTCTAGAGCCTGAGACCAAGTGAAACACGAGTTTTATTTGAGGCGTCAAAGCGCAGGTGCTTCTGTCACATACGGTGGGGTTGACTTCAGGGTCCCGGTTTCTAAGATAAGACTTGGTGCATCTTAGACACAGCTTCCTGGGAAAAGAATTAGAAAGGGAGCAGGACACAGCCTGGGAAGAAGAAGAGGAAAGGTCGGCGGTGATGGGGACATCTTCCACAGCAAGGACTCCCCCTAGCCGGAGGCGGCAGGGTCCACTTGGCCGTTCTGGCTGCAGTAACATCTCAGGGCTCCCCGGTTCCCTCCCTGGATTTCCGATTCAGTCACCCCCTTCCCCTGAAGAATTCACAGAGGAAGGGCAGGGCCTAGGTCATGGACACTGCTACTTGTTCGATGAAGCTGGCCAGGTTTATGTCCCGTTCCGAAAGGCCAGCACACTCGTGGGTGCTCAGGGTGATGTGGACCTGGAACAAAATCAGAGGTTCGGGCCCCGAGCAGGAGAGGGTCACCGCTGTGCGGCTCGGCCACACCGAGCGCTCCAGGGTAGCAGCCGGTCTCCACGCTCTGGCCTGGGGGGCAGCCTTCCCGAGTCTCTAGCAACACTGCACACCCTCCCGTGGTGGCCCTGGCCTGGGGTCCGAGCTGTTCGCTGTGCGTGCTATTCTCAGCTCAGGTGATGACTTTTTCACTCCTCCACGCCGCACCTCCAAGGAGGGGTTACGCCATTTAGAGCCATGGGCCATGAATACGGCCCATCCCACAGCCTTGCCTTCCGTGGTTCGGCCTTCTTGATGCCTACTCACTGTCCACCTTACCGGCCTGTTCTCTCACCAGTGTTTTCATTTGCACTTCTTTAATTGGTAGTGAGCCTGACTATTTCGCAGGGCTGTTCATGTTGATTCTAGATGGGGAGGCCCCTAGGGAAGGCCAGCGAAGGGCCTTCAGGACTGGGCCGGGCACGCATCGCTCACCTTGTTGTACACGTTAAACCATTCAGGATGGTGGTCCAGTTTTTCAGCCTGCAGGGCCACCCTCGTCATGAAGCCAAAAGCCTATGTAGTGAAGTGAGACCCAGGTCAGCGCTCTGAGAGACAGAGGGCTGCTCTAAGAGTTCCGGGTATGGAGAACCCAACACCCATCTCCCCACTCTCCAGTCCCCAAGGGTGACACTCCAACCTGGCTAGGGTAGCGTCTGAAGGGGCTTGGGTGGCAGGGCTTTAAGGGAGAGAACAAGTTCTGGAGTGTAACCCCATCCGCCCCAGTCTCAGAAACTCTGTCCCCCCCAGCGACATACCCGGTTGAAGTCTTTGAAATGGAACTGCTTGAAGATGGCGTCTCGGCCTTCCAGCTCGTTCCACCCCACAGCCCTCAGGTTTGGCAGCAACTGCTCCCGCTCCTCAGCACTTAGCCTGTGCGCTTTGCCAGCCTAGGAGAGGAAATCAACAGATTCCTTCCAGTCACCAGCGGAAGTCAGCCAGCCTCCCCGGGGGCTCGGGTGGCCGGGTCGAAAGCAATGGACAGGGAGGCGTTGAGGGTGGCACCCTGCCCTGGGGGTGGGGCCCTGGCTCGTGCGCTGATGCGTTCTTAGATTTGGACACTCTGCTCAGAGAACAGAAAATCCTGAGGTGTGATGCAAGTCCCTGGGGCTGAGCAACCCCCCCCCCCCCCCGCTCAGGCGACAGAGCCCCCCCCCACCACCATAGGTCTCTTATGATAATGAGGGAGTAAAAGCAAAATCAAGCCCAGATGCGAATGTGTTACTACACAACTTTTCAGAGAAAGAGTATCCATGACTGTCCAACCTTCCTTTTTCTGTTATGGACTGTATCCAGTTCACCCCCACGCCCGCACTGTGACTCAAGGAAACTGAGGCCTAGAAAGGGAAAGTGACCACAGTTCTCCTCCCCCCAGGCCCCCCCCCCATCCTTGAGAGCATAGGCATTGTTCTCAAAGGGAGTCTGAGTCTGCTTCCTGGGCCTGGGGCAAAGGAGCCAGCACTTAAAACACCTTCCAGGTGGTTCTTCACCACACCACAGTGGACACCCACTGGTACTACCTCCCAGTGGGTGTTCCTCATGCCCCCAGGCAGCCTCTGAGTACCAGCTGCCAGGCCTGGGGGCTTCGGATTCCCACCTTCTTGTCTACTCCATCAGCCTGGGGAGCCTGAGCCAAGAGAGCTCAGGCCCAAAGTGGAAGTAACTTGGCCCAGGGCGACTGGACAAGCCTAATGCCTCAGGCTATTTACCTATTGTGCAAAGTGCCCTCCAGGCAGCCCAAGCTGGTACAGTTCAGGCCCTGAGTGGAACCCTCAGAGACAGAAGGAAGCAAAGGCCGGGTCCATTCTCTGGGGGGATGGACCCAGGCCTAGGCACTGAAGGGATCCCAGAATTGAGACTTCTGCAACAGAAACTCTAATAGAGTGTTGAAGGAAAAATGAACCAGTAAGGTCTGGGAAGAGAATGTGAGGGAGGCTAATTTAGCTTCATGCGGCAGCGCGCAGCCTGGCAGTCGTGGGGGGCCGTTGGCAGGACTGGTTCAAGCCCCAGTTCTGCCACTGTCCAGCAGGGTTGCCCTGTGGCACTCACCTCCCTTGGCTTGAAAGGTAGAAGGGGCCCAGAACTTCCCTTTCAGATCAGCAAGAGGAGCCAATGGGACATATCAATAAAGTCCATCCTCGTTAAGGGCCTACCATCTGCATTTGTAAAAGGAGACTTTCTGGGGCTAGCAGGCTTGTTAGGCCCTGCCGGTGTGGTGCTGAACTAGAAAAGCAGTACAGCCTCCTCTAAGTCCATCTTTCTCTCTCTCCTGAAAAACACTTGTTTTCTCTGGACTGATCCGGCTTGGTCCAGCTCAGCTCCTTTCCTCAGCTCTGCGAGATCGGCCTGCTGCGCCCAACCCCTGCTCCATTCCAGATCCCGCCCCTTCTCAGTGGCTGATAAGCCTGCTCATGTATCCAGGCAACCAGATGAATGTCAGCCCAGGCATCAGAACCCACTGCTTAGGTCTCTGGCCCAGAAAGAAGTAGGTGGGTACTAGTGAGCTCTTAGGAGGCACCCCTTGGCCTTTAGAGTCTTCGGGGATCCCCCAAGTTTCACAGCCTGGGGCTGAAATGACAAGCGCCTCTGAGAGCTGGGATCAGAGCGGGGGGAAGGGGCAGTGTTTGCTTAGTAAATCGCAGGCCAGGCCTGGCCTGGCCTGGTCATCTGGGGGAGTGTGCGCTCCGGTTACTGATTACCCGCCCCGCCTGCATCTTTGGGGCCTCAGAGCACCACACAACCAGCCTCACTCTCCCCCTGCCCTCCCTCCAAGCCACAGCTTTCCAAGTGCCTTCTCAGCTGTCACCACAGTCCCTACTGCTCCTCAGGCTTTGGGACCAGAAAGGGGCTGTTTAGTAAAGCTTCCCAGGTCTACACACCACCCTCCTCCCCTGCCAGGGCTCCCATTCACCTCCCGGAGGGCGGGGGTATTGAAGTAGGGCTGAGCACAGCGCCAAGGCCCTCCTGGGGGAAATCCTAGCCTGCAGGGGGGCTGATCCTGAGCAATCGGGTCCCCATGGCTGGGCACAGGCCTCAAGCGAGGCACCAGGGGCTGGTTCTGAGGCCAGGGGGCAGTGCGGGGGGCAGAGAAACAGAACCAGCCTCCCTCCTACTCACACTCAGACACACGGTCGCCCCCCTCCCCTCAATGTTGACGAGAACCTGCCACCGAGTGGGGGCGATGTCTACGGGGCTCACCAGCTGCCTCTCACCGCCCCCCGCCCTGGGCCCACCGCTATGTGTCGCCTGCAGCCGCGAGGCGCCCCGGGGACGCGGGCCTGGGAGCAGGGCCCTGCCTGGGCTGCGCCTCGCTGTCACCCGGCCGCGCCAGCGCCCCTCTCCCGGCCTCAGCTCGCCCTGGGGCACCACCGAGGGTGCGGGTGGCAGCGGGGCGGAGACCCCGGCTCTCCGAGCCTGGCGAGCGGCCGGCGGGCGAGGCGCTCGCAGGGACCGTCCCCCACCCTCGCCGCCCCCGCGATCGGCCCCTTCCTCTCCTCCGCTCCCCACCC